GGCAAATCGAGGATTTCATTTTTCAATTCCGTTCGCGGACCCAGTAGCCAAAGTAGAACTGCCAGAGCACTTTATTGAAGTCGTCAGGCATCGCGCCTCTATATCGTTCACCACACGATCACTTGTGCGCTATAATGGTATATGTTTCTTAATTTTTATCTTTTACACAAAAGCCGTTAGATTTTTTGTCTGAACCAGTCTTATTTTACCATGTAGATTCTTTAAATTCTCGTATCAGTGGATTCAAGAAAACCATTGCAAGGGATAATAAGAGTCTTAATTAATTTAGCTTAGAAAATTTCGTGTGCCTACCGCTTGTTGCAAAAAAAAAAATCCACAAATTGCCCACAAAAATACTTTTGTGGTATGGCCTCGATTACTTACAAGTGAAATTCAAAACCTGTAAAAGTAAAACACATGGTTTTTGGGCAGTGACCGTTGTACACGAGCATGGGACAAACGCTTATAAATAAGCTGAAGAAACAAATGAACCGAGAAAATAGTGTGAAATGTCTAGTACGACAAGTTGATCCGAAATATCTCAAATTCGTATCACAGATTTATGAAATACGGTCAAAGCAAAAAAAAAAAAATTCATCAAACATCTCAAAAAACTTCGTATTTTCCAGAACGAATCAATGAAGTTGTCAACGAATTAATGATTCGGAGCAATCTTGTTTTACTATCTCTATTAAATGAGGTTATTTTACTGTTGTGTGTTCACATAGTAACGCTTTTTTTGTCTGAGCATTTTTGAAAACGCTTTTGTTTCGACAAAAATCGTTGTAAAGAATCGAAAATTGTGAGTGAAAATTGAAAGCTGACACAAAAATTAACAACAAAAAAGCACTGGAATAATCATAATTGAAATTCCAACTGCAAGATTAGAAGTCAAAAAAAAATTTGAAAACTATGCCCTAAGATATCAGCTAAAAAGTCTGAAGGCTTGAAAAAATTGAGTAACCTCAAAATTTTAGTTCCAGAACGTGAAATTTAAAAAAACTGAAAAAGTGGTATTAAAAATGAGGCTAAGATACTGAGAGTTATGAGCAAAGGTTTCCAGTCGGCCTCCTATCTGACGATCTGTAGAAAAGTCTTAAATTAGCTATTTCTTCCTCGCACGTAGTATTTCATCACCAAGAGTCTAAGCAATCCTGACCGTCGTTAATTCTGACGTTTAGATTCGTCTGCTGATTCCGTGTTTGTATCATGCAATCGAGGCGATTTCCATTGTTGATTTCATCCTTGCGCTTGCTACCTACGCTACGAAGACTCCATCAGGTTTGCCTTCTAAACCTGAAAGCTATTACAGCTATCTTAAGGAAAACAAACATATCTGCACATATACAAGCAAGCACACAAGCGTACTTACGTGCATGTACAAGCACAAAAACACATTTTCGATCTATGCGCAGAAATCACACGTAGGTATAGCTACTGCAACGAAATCTTAGCCTGTGCTCAGATACAAAACTAAGGTGCTTCTTTCATGACCACTTTCGAGTAATTCCTTTTTTTTCGAAGGGAAATCACCAATCTTTTTCTGTTTTCTCCAAAATCTGGCTTCAGTTGGTCAGTTAGAACTCTCAAGTCCGAAAAGATTTTTCCAGTGCGACCTTCGTTTGCACAATCCATGTCGATGATTGTGAAGCAAGGGCGACATCCACTTCTCGACATTGCCACTGGCCTTTCTGTACCCAATGATGTGGTATGTGTGATTTTCGTATTTCCCTGCTTCATACCTTAAAGTTAAGCAAATTCATTTTCACTGACAAAAATAGGCAATTTTATTCGTAACAGCCGCATTATGAATAAGCACTGGTGAGCTATTTTGATCTTTTTTCTTAATTTTCATCACGTTCCCCATTCCTCTGTATGCTTTCAGTACATATCACCAGAATCGAGGGTTGAAATTATCACTGGTCCCAACATGGTATGTGTTATTTCTGCTAAACAAAACAGTTCCGTATTACCGAAACAAATATTCAGAAAACTTCAAAAATTAAAAACTCCCGCACCACGCAAAAGTATTATAAGGAAAAAGGTGCCAAAACTAAGATTGATTCCAGTCTTTCTTTGTCAGAAACTGTTTATGCTAACGCAAGAACCTCATATTCAATCGTTTGTTTTCAGTAGAGCAAACTGTGAGCCGTTCATCGAAGAATAATGGGTTAGGGCCACCCCCCTTCGCCCCATTATTTCCTTTTTATGCGTTTTTTGCAGCAGTGCAACGCGAAAAACGCATATTGACGAGAGGTTGTCTGTC